GCAACATGGGATTATATAATATTAAATAGAAAGAAGAACTATCTTAAGTGTGGCTCAGTTGGTGTATACCACCAACTGAGCCACACTTAAGATAGTTCTTCTGGGAGAGACAGAAAAGAACAACATTTACCTCATGCATCATCACGTAAAAACAACAGAAGTTAAAGAAAATTTACACATATGTACAGGAGAGGTTAACTATAGTTTTAAACTGGAAATAGAGCAATAGAAAAGGAGTGTGCCAAAAGAACGTCTGTATTACATCAGAATAACGGGGTGTGAATGAGATAAATGGCATATGAAGTGACGATACTGAATTAGTGCCAGGTCAGTCCCTGTGTCATGGTGTCTAAATTTGAACCTGCAGTGTTTAGTTCAGAGCTGGTACAGGGTGTCTTAGTTTCTGCTACTGAAACCTAATCCTTGCACAGCAACAGGGGGAGGTCCCTCTGAGCCACTGTTACTCCACAGTGAACTGGTCTAGTCTGACCAACCACCTTTACTCTAGCTCTTGTCATCACCCTGAGAACATGCAAACTATCCAAGACCAGTTTTGCTTCTCCTGATGACACTGAATGCAACTCATACATCTCCAGAAGTCAGGAAAACCACCACAGCAGATCAGCCAAGGAAAGAAGTGCTCAGATCCGGTACCAACACATTATCATAAAAATACTTTACTTATGCTAGGTGGAGTAAGTTTTAACTACATTATATAGGCTAGATTTGAAATATTTAGTCCAGTGGTTACCAACTTAGGGGCAGGGTCCTTCCAAAGGGTTATGATATAAATCTGTGGGGTCATGAAATGATTGGGAGAGGAGGAAAACAAAGAAAAACCAAACTTCTGCTACACACATTTTCAGTGTATTTTTTATTTTCTATTTTTTCCATAATAGCTAGGCTACATTAAAATACAAAAAAGATTAGCGAGAGAGCCCTCTTTATTATTGTGACAGCATTGAGGCATTATGTGATTTAATCACACTTATTTACACCAAAGATGAATTAGCCTAGCTAGAACTGCTAAGCTATGCTAACACAGTTATGCTAACTTGCCTTAGAAGGGAGAATGTCTTTGTGTCTGTTCTGAACATGATTGTTACAACTATCTTTCAATAAAATGTTATTAATTTTTAAGAGGTACATAGGACACTGGCAACAGAATGGTGCATAAAAAAAGATGTGTTAGTTTGTACAGTGTAAACCTCATGAAAGTAATAAATATGTGACCTTTTATAATATCAGTTTATAGCTGAATAATGGATATAATAATAAAAAACAAACACAAGTCTTTAAATAGTTTTAGGGGCATCTGGAACAGGAAAATTGCCCCTGTGGCCCCCACTGGGACAAGATGTCCCTTTACATGATAACATTTTAAAAAATGCATAAACAGGACATGATATGTAATACTTACCATTATAATATCCCACATACTGGGTTTGTTTATGCAGTGCTGTGCTGTACATACTAAATTCATATCCAAACACCTAGGAGTAAACAAACGATGTTCTGGGGACTCTTACCCCATCTACAGTAGATTTTCAAAGCTGAACACACACATGACAGCAGTAATATTTCATCTGTCCTGTAGATGGTGACAGCATATAAGAGAGACTCCTGTTGTAGACTGACCTTTCTATTTATTTATTTTTTTCATTAGGGATTTGTATAATCACATTAATGTACAAAACAAATAGCTCAATATCAGTGAAAACCTTTTATGCCAATCACATCAGTTTAGTATTGGATAATAACAAATAACTCTTTCTTGCACATTGTTATTTGGCTCCTCCTGACCTGAGGCCTGTTGAACTCTGAAGCAGCTTATCCAAGAATAGATGACAGTATCAGATCTGTATTTAATGTTTTCCTTTGAGTGAAGCTTAAATTATTAGTTAATTAGTCAATCTGTTGATCAACAGATAACATATTTAGATAACTGATTAAAGTAAAGTAATTAATCAAGCAAAAATCCAGGTAGTTGGACAAAGTTAACAATTTGAAGACCACTTTGGTCTGTGAGAACTTGTGGATTATATTTTTTTCTGAATAATTAATCGAACTATTTAAAAAAAATCTGCATTTGAATTGATGATGGAAATGATGGTTAATTACATGTCTGACTAACAAAGCAGGTGTAAAAACATTTATTAACCTGTTTGTTTGGGTTAGGTTAAATATCCTTTGCTTTGTTTGGACTCTAAAGGTAGTTTAAAATTTATACATGCCACTGGAAAGCATTTTAATAAGCGCTGAAGTAATTATTCACGCCAAAGTGCCAAAAATGTTATGGTTCTAGCAATTCAAATTTGGGGATTTGAGGCTTTTCCTTTTTGCGCTTTACGGGCGCGCCCTCTAGAGCGCGCGTCCCACCGAGAGCGCGCGGGGTGAAGGGGCGGGGTCGCGCGGAGTCAGCAGCGCAGCCAGGGATGTGAAACTTGTCCCGGATATTTACCTAACTATACCTGGCTTTCCCGACGCGCTCTGGTCCGAGGTTTTAACAGCGGAGTGTCTGCGGACTATGACCCGTCTCTGAAGCGGGACGACGGAGGTAGACATGTCTTTTTTGTCTTTTAAACATTTTGTTCTCCCCAACAAAACATTCATTTGGCCAAGTTGTAGTTACGAGGACTGTCGTGGCTGCAGCAAAGTTTGTATGTAACTTACGGTGTTCCTCCTTTTGGGTGTGTGTAGCTATAGAAAACCTAAGGGTGTCAACAGGTTCCTTGTTTGCGCTGTGGCTCAAAGTACAGCGAGTTTAGAGTAGAGTTCATTATCGACAACACGGAGAACAAAATTGTGGGCCTTATAATCAGAAATAGGCCCCGTTTATCTAGTATGATTAGGCTGCCTTTAATATGCAGTAGGGAGTAGGCTATACAATATGAGCTTTACCATCTATGCTAGGTGTTTTTGTCCTACATTGTACACGGTTATTTTGTAGGTAAGGCTAAAGCATTGATATGCGTTAAAAACATCTCTGTCTTTATTTCCTCATCTGTAGGTAAATGGTCTTATACTTGTATAGCGCCTTTCTATGCTTTTACAGTACACTCAAAGCGCTTTCACATTATTCGGCCATTCGCACTTCCAAGCACTCACGCATTCACACACCAGTGACATCACCGGGAGCAACTGGGGGTTTAGTGTCTTGCTCAAGGACACCTCGACATGACAAGCCGGGAATCGAACCGCTAATCCTCCGGTTAGGAAACGACCCGCTCTATCTCCTGATCCACAGCCAGCCCCGAGGTGTAATGTGGGCACAAGATGCAAAACACTCAGTGAGGTCATAGTCTGTGCATTATGATGAACCTTCTTTTAAACGTATCATTTCCTTGTAAATTCATTAGAGGCCTGCCTGTGAGAGGGTTATTATGGAAAACCAGTCATCGGACTGGGACAAGCTCTACTTTTATGTATTCAGAGTATGTCACCCTGTTCAAACATTAACTCAAAACACTGTGTGCCCTTTCAGTGTGAGACAGGCTGGCCTGGATCCATTAATCGTTCACCTGGAAACCAACACAGGACACATGTATGTACGTACACTTGGATGCCTACAGATGCTTACACATAGATATTCTCAAAGTCAGGGCATAGTATTGGCTTTGAGTGCACATGTACATGTGTGTGTGTGTTTGTGATCATGCATTGTTTGCAGCAGCAGGTCTGAGATCAGTTGTAGTGCTGTAGATGGGTGCGTTCAACTCTGAAAATGTTTAACATTCCTATCATTCAGCTGCCTGCCAAAGGCGGAGAAACACAGAGGGAGAGCATAGGGATATGTTCAGACCCAGGCCAAATAATAAAGAATTACACTCACAGTCACTCCTTCGCATTCACAATGCATTACTCACTGCAGCCAATGCAACATCCAACACATATATTACTCATCATACAGATTCATCCTGAGGGAGGTGTTTTCATTGAAAGACAACAACCTGGAAGCAGCTGACACTGGTTTTGTGGATGTGTGCGTTTGTATATGTTTCCAGGTCTCCTCTCAGTGACACGCTGAGGGCAGGGTGTTTGCCTTGAGAGGGAGGCCAAGCTACGGTGGTAACAGTCATGCCAAAACCAGACCTGCTGTGCCTAGTTCAGCTGCTGGACGGCACTATCGAGACCTTCAGAGTCAGCGTGTGTAATACACATTTATACACACACAGACACACAGTTTCCTGTTTGTTGCTGAGATCATATGTTGCTCCTATCTGTCACTGTTCTGCTAATGATCGTAGTGTCAGTGCATGATATAGTGACAGTCTATTCTTTCCTGTTCGCATTGATCCACATATCCTGTTCAACATGGCGACCTTGGTTTGAAGGACACACCCACCTCTTGAAGCTTAAAGAGAATGTTAAACCACACATCAGCATATCATGTCATACACAGCCTGACAACGGTGTGAGCACATCTGCAGAAAGACAATCACAGTATTGCTTTCTACGACAGCAGCTGTGCAGCATCTTTATGTGCCTGGGAGAGTACTTTGATTGTAATGTATGAAGAAATTCCAATATTAATCTTTATCACTCTCTCTATTGCAGCTTCTGTGTTTCTTGTGTTCAAATAAGGTTAATTGTTTTTAAGGTTTTAAGGTTAATTTGTTTTAATTTTCAGCTTTACACCGAAAAAGAACACGGACACTTAGAACTGACCAGAAGAGCAGGAAGGTCATTTTAAACTGATCTTCACCTGGGTTTTGTGCCCACACACAGAAAAAATGTTTGTGCTTCCTGCTGTGAGAACATGTTGCAGTTTACAGTAAACATAGTCCTCTTGTAATGTATATGTAGTTCTGGCAACATACAGTACAGAGAAGAATGGGGAGAAAATGCAGATGAGCTGTGAGTTATCCCTTAGAGTGATTAATAAAACAATGAGTGCTGTGCTGCACCTGGATACATGCATTACTGATTGTTCTGCAGCTACATTTACTCATTTTTGAAACATACGAATCAAAATAATTATTAAAACTATTTATGTCTTAACCATCTCAGCACACATAACAGAACAAATAGGCAACTTATAAATACCACTCAGTTTTTTGCTGGCAGTACTGTTGTTGTTTAAATCTTTCAGAAGCAGGATGAAGGTGAGGTTCTGTTGGACCTAGTATGTGACCACCTGGGCCTGCAGGAGAAGCAGCTCTTCAGTCTGCAGATCAGAGAATCCAGCACAGCCATCGCCTCTGTCACAGCCAACACACACACTTCTGTGAGCTCACTGTTCATCTGCTGCACATTTGGGCTGAGATTGTAATGTATTGCATTCACTGATTGCTGTTTAGACAATGACAACCACAGCGTATACTTGCATAAATGTTTTTCAACCCCAGTTAGCCATTATACTTATTGAATTTCTTTCTCTCAGAGATGGTTGGAGCCTGAGAAACCCTTGAAGAAGCAGATAAAAGGTATTTGACTTCAGAGAGTTTACTGTCTTTACCTAGAATTATCTTTCTAATCAAATTTAAAAAAATTTATTGTGAAATAAATTTGAATACTTAGCTAAAGAGGAGATGTAAGAGGGAAGAAGTACACTAGAAGTGTGCCGCCATACATATATGCCATATTTGACACAATGATATTTTTCTGCAGGTCTTGTTTCACCCTTTTATCTGAACTTCAGGGTACGATTCTTCATCTCTGATCCCAACTCTCTGCAGCATGAACAGACAAGGTCAGAGTGCATGTGCTTATCTGTTATGTAACAATTGTACAATTTATAGACACATAGGACTACATATTGCTCTGGAGTAGTTGTATCCCTCAGAAATGGTATATATGTTAGGATTATGGATAAAAACCAAGGATGAACTTGTTGGGATTTATTTATTTTTGACATTTTTACTGCACTTTCAGTATTTTGGCTCACTTCTGGCCCAAATAAATAAATAAATAAATAAATTCTTGTTTTTGTGATACAGTGGCAGCTCCAAGTGAAGGTCTAACAAGAGTAATACAGTAGTTTGCAGCTCTGTGAGACTAGTTAAGTCACATTCATGTTGTAGCAGAGTTATTGTAATTAGTAGTGTCTGACTTGTTAACAACAACAAGTCATATACACTAGCTATCCCACTAGCACGGTTTAAAACACCAATGTGTCAGGCTTCTTTAAAGACATGTCTGCAGGAGACAGACAACAAAGGTGCCTGGTATGGTAAACTTCCTCGTTTCGTCTCTGCAGGCACTTGTACTTCCTCCAGATCAGAAGTGATATTAGAGAAGGACGGTCAGTAACAGACACAAGCCCAAACTCAACTGCTCATCTGCTTGTGCACAGTTTATGTTTAGCAGTTACAGTGTGTAATCATGGAGTATGATTGCAGGTTGCAGTGCCCGCTGAGTGCAGCTGTAGTGTTGGCTTCATACGCTGTGCAGTGTAAGTCTTATTTCCTCCTGGAGAAACAAATGATTAATGACTTAATAATAGCAGTGTGAGTAATTATTCCTGAGGATGAGAATGCTCTCAATAAGCAGCAGCTCCCTGCCCCAGTGTGTCAGCGTGTGTGAATGTGTGGCTTTGGTTATGTGCTTCTGTGTGGGTGCTCAGCTTGTCTTTCCATCACCTGCAGCGGAGATGGGGGATCATTCTCCGTCCAGACTCCCTGGTTACCTGTCAAAGTGCCACTTTATCCCAGAGCAGGATGAAGACTTTCTGTGTAAAGTGGAGGACCTGCATCCACAGCACAAGTAATTCAGTCTGTTATACTTAGTTGCTAATGAAAAGCAGCTAGTTTGTTGAGCAGCTGGTTCCTGTCATTTCATGTGACCCTATGTTTGCATCCGTGTTCCCAGAGGGCTGAAGCAGAGCGAAGCAGAGCTGTGTTTCCTCAACATAGCACGGACACTGGAGCTGTATGGGGTGGAACTGCATACTGCCATGGTAGTATGGTTTATTTACTATATCATGCTTTGCATCTTTTTGATTCATCTCATGCAGGACACTTTTTGTCATTCCCTCATCACTCGTTCTTTCTCTCAGGACATCAACAATGCCCCTCTGATGGTGGGTTTGGCCTCGAGTGGTGTTGCAATATTCTGTAACATGGTTTGCTCCAGTTTCTTTCCCTGGTGAGTGGTGATCCCAATAATTGGATAGCTGTTCTTGTACTGTGTCTGTTTCGCTAACCAAAGGTATTCTCCTTATGCAGGGGGAACATCATCAAGATTTCATTTAAGAGAAAACACTTTCTTATACATCTGAAACGTAAACACGTGAGTCTTTCTATTGTTAGTATATTGTTCTGTTGTTAAATTCTTAATAGCTAAAAAAATCTGCTCTAAACAAATCCCTGCTTTTTATCGCTCTACATCCATTAAACTCCAATGAAACTTTGGAGTCAGAACAGTGTTTTTTTATTTTTATTATTTTAGTATTTTTATATTGATGTGTGTGCAATTGTAGCTAAAATTAGAACATTTTCTTTGTGAACTGGGGGGTTTATGCACAACACTTTCATTCTTCAACGAAATTTCATAAATAAAAGCTGAACTAATAAATGGCTTACAAAGATGTGAACATGGCACTGGTTGAATGGTTAAAGAAGCAGAAGTCTGTATGTTACAGGGTGAGACCCAGGATTGTGAGGTGTCTCTGATTCTGCCCTGTCCGAAGACCTGTAAGAACCTGTGGAGGTCCTGTGTGGACCATCACTCCTTCTTCTCCTCCAGCCGGACTGCCAGGAGCCCCAAATACAACAACAGCACAGTTCAGTCCTACAGAAAACTGATAACGCAACACCTGGGCCTCGGCAACAGTAAAACTGAGACGTGAGCCTCCACCTGTACAATTTTATATAGATGTTCCTGTCACAAACACTGAATTTTACCACATGTTGTTATTATTTCTTCTTAATTTGCAGTGGTCCGGTGTGCCAGCGGGTGGTGGGTGGGATGGTGTGGAACGTAGTCCTGCGGAGGTCGAACTCATCAGAGTATCTCGAGACCAAGAGTCTGCCTTCCAGATCACCCCCAACCACCCCGAACTGGTAGGACTGGTCCCTGTTAGTCAGTGGTGGTAGAAGTACTGGGATTCTTTACTTAAGTAAAAGTAGCAGTGCCACAGTGTAAAAATACAAGTAAAAATCCTGCATTCAAAGTATTACTTAAGTCTGTGTAAATTCTCGGTCGTCCAGGTCATAGTAAGCTGAGAAAAAATCATTTTTTTCTACATTTTTTTCAATGTTGCTTAAATAAAAGTACAAAAATATTCACATCAAAAGTACAGATGCATTATTCTGTACATCACTTTATTGTTGTATATTGTGTAAATTGAACTAATCTTAACTACCCTATATGCTGTTTTGAATCTAATAATTTTTATTTAAATTAGGCTATTTTACTGCTGGGATCAACAAAGTCTTAAGAATATACAGTTTTCTTTAAAACCTGATTCTGAAAAGTAACTACTGTTGTAACTAAATTTATCAAAATTAATTTAGTTACAACAGTAACTAATTATTGTACTTTTACTCCGCTAAATGTATCAAAATAAATTTAGTGGAGTAAAAGTACAATATTTGCCTATGAAATGAAGTTGATTAAATGAAGTCACAGAAAATGGAAATATTCAAGTAAAGTATAACTGCATCAAAACTGTAGTACTTGAGTAAATGTATTCAGGTACTTTCCACCTCTGCTATTAGTCATACTGTAAATTCTTAGAAAGTATTGATTCCAGTTTCCTGAAAAAAATCAGCAGAAGCTATTGACTGATGTTTTTCTCTAGCTCTTCGTAGGCTCTGTTATTAGTCATACAATGTGTTTTACAGGATTTTAGGGGAAAGAAATAGCTGGAACAAATTACACACTTATGGCCTTATGTGAAATTTGTATCCATCCATTCATCTTTTTTTTGCTGTTGACCCAGATTTAGGTCATGCCTAATGATTACTTAATAATATTTACTATGATGTGATAATTATTTTTGATATAGTGATGGGAAACTGACAGAAATGTGATATAAATGTCAATAATTCATGCACTTGGCCAATAATTCCACGCCTTGTATCCCTACTGGTTTTATGTGGTATTATAATGTCTCAGAAAGTCTTAAATTCAACTTGCAGAAAACCATCCTGACTGTTTTGTCCCCTCGGCAGGCGAAGTTCTCGAGTTCGTCATGGCATCAGCAAACCCCGTCCATCCTCCATGGAGCTCAACACTGACATGAAAGACATGTCAGAAGGGGAGGATGTCTTCTACACATACAGATCGTCTGTGAGCAACAGTGAGGGAGATGCTTCACCACATCGGTTAGTACCAGTTGCAACAGTAACTAGGCACAGTCTCAATTTTTGTCCCACTCAGCAGATATTGGTGGCAAGACATATATTTTTATATTTTGAATTGCAGCTTGATTGAGATAAAGATTTTTTTTTTAACAACCATGAAGATATCACAGTATTAATGTTTTACAATAAAATATAATTTAGTTCATGACTGTTTAAAAATTGTTGCCACCAGTTTTATGAGAAAGTCCCAGTTGTTGTCTGGTTAATAAGCTTTTTGGATGTGCCTCAGCCAGTCTGGTTTATTCATAAAGGAAGCACCACTGTGTGTTTGTGTTTTAATGTATAGGTAATTATATTAATCGCAATATTTTCTGTAAATCATTCAGCTCTAACTTGTGTTGTCAAAGCGCTCATATAAACCATGGGTAAAATTCTATTAAGATGTAAGACTAGTCAGACTTATGTTATTATCACATGTGAAGGTAATGTGTGACGCTATAAATCTCTTTATGTCATCTCTTTTAGCCTTTCTGGCACTTACAGCCAAGCACCAGATGAGGCTTTGGTGCACACTGATGACAATATAGGAGGGGAGGACAGTTTACACCATAACAACAAGGTCTGTTAAATTAATATCTGCTTTTAATAAATGTTATCACTGTATATCCATTCATGTATGTGCATGGGTGTGTTCATCCTTTCCTGTGCAGGATGCTCTCGGCGACGGCGACTTAATGCTAATTTGTATTACCCCGGATCATGAGGGCAAGTTTGGCTTCAATGTTAAAGTAAGATCTGTCTTACACTCTTTGTGTCTCTTACCCACACAAAGCAAAGTTTAATGTTGTTATTTGTATGTATTGTTACTCTTCTGTTCTTGTTCCTTAATGTTTCCTAACTCCTCCTAGGGCGGGGTGGATCAGAAGATGCCTCTAGCCATATCCCACGTTAAACCTGACTCTCCAGTAAGAGTGGACTCAGATGTGTTTGTGTTTTGTTTTAATGTAGTGCCTCCAGGTTGTGTTGAAATAACTTTATAATGAATCTACTGCAAGAACAATGTGGACTGATGGATAAATATTTAGATAGATGTTCTGCACCGAAAGAGAGCTGCAAAGGATTGTCAGTTAATTGGTTAGTCACTGAAAAACTAATGGGCAATTATTTTTATAATTCATTCATTCATGGATTAAGTCATTTTTCAAGCCAAAATGCCAACTTCTCAATTGTGAAGACTTGATGTTTTTCTTTGTCTTGTGTGATAGTAAAATATTATCTTTGGGTTTTGGACTCTTAGTTGGATAAAACAATGATTTTAGGAAAATGTGATGGACAAAACAAAATATCTTTATACAGTTATGTTAGATTTGTGTGTGACCAAGATGCATACTGAGCGAGACATTTTACTGTTGAAAAATCAACTTGTCAGTGCTCGCTGCTGGAAAACTAAGCAAGGGGGACACTGATTAACCTAAAACCTAGTTTTGCATTTCTGCTCTGTGATTTCTTGTTACTTATTACATGTACGCAAACACTTGTCAGGTTTTAAATGACCCTCTGTTGTTTGTAGGCAGGTCGATGTGAGCCCAAACTCATGGAGGGAGACCTGCTGGTCCTCATCAATGGTCGGGACATTTCTGAACACACACATGACCAGGTCGTCATGTTCATACGAGCCAGCAGAGAGTCGCACTCCAGAGAGCTGGCCCTGCTCATCAGACGTAAAGGTGAGCATAGAGCTGAGAGAGGAAATGGCTGAAGCAGTGTGCGATCCCAATGTGCACACTCATGTTTCTGTGAAGTATAAGGACAGTCATGAACCATCCTTGTATTCTAGGTCCTGGTCGGGTGGCACCTATGCTGCAGTTACCTCCCACCCTCACACTCACCAGCCAATCACAGGGAGAGAAGCCACAGTCACCTGGCCGGTCAGAGCGGGTCACGACACTGGAAGAGTCGATGAAACAGCTGGAGAAAGGAATACAGTCTGGCACACTCTGTTTCCATTTTGAGGTATTTAAAGTTCAGCTGGGAACTAAACAGTGAATGGGTCTTTAAAGATGTATTTATATGTAGAACACAAATATTCAAATGGGTGTATATGTCTTTACTTGAAGCAGGATTTAGTTTGTCCCACTTAGCTATCTGGGGGATCATAATGAACCTTTTAAATGCTGTCTTTGGGACAGATGTTGGCCCTAATCTTCACTTGGACTCGGTTCCTGATACACTAAAACAAAGATGCTGTGACTGGCCTGGAATTTGTAGTTTCTTTTGTGTAAGTTTCTGTATATGTTTATGTGCATGTGTGTCTGTTTGTGTGTTTCTGCACGCTTGTAATTTCTAGAATTTGTACCGGAGAAAGCCTGGTTTGTCACTAAACTGTGCTCGGCTTCCTGAGAACACGGACAAGAATCGATATAAGGATGTTTTACCTTGTAAGTCGTGCTTATTCTGACTACCTGTGTGTCGGCTCTACCGCTCATCCCTTCCCTGCCTTCTTTACTAACTTTCTAACTTTGATTTGGTGGTCGCCACTGTGGCATCTCATGAAATTTAATTGGCTGACCCCGCATTGCGTCAACAGCTCTGTTCTGACCACACACACTGTGGTCCTGCTCTCCTTGCAGATGATGCTACCAGAGTGGTGCTCCAGGGCCCGGAGGACTACATCAACGCTAGCCACATCACGGTGAACATCACTGACATGAAACTGTGTGTCTTGTCCCTCTCTGTCACTTAATGTAAACTCATCCCCTTTGTGGCATGTGTATGTGTTTGTGTTTGTCTCTTAGGTGGCGCCGCCAGTGTCTGGTGTGTGTTTATATTATATTGCAGCTCAGGGTCCCTTGCCACAGACCTGCACTCACTTTTGGCAGACTGTTTGGGAGCAACAGACACATACCATCATCATGCTTACAACTCTGACAGAGAGAGGACGGGTATACATACTTCTACACGTTCATACTGTTAACAGCCACACTTACACAGGAATGGAAATGAGTAAACACCAAGGGAAATGCTTGAAATTACACTTCTCAATATCAGCAATATTTCAATAGTGATTATGCAGATTAGTACATGTTGTTTCATGTTTTATTTGATAGATGATTACTATAATTAAAAGCTTCGGCAGTGGTGTTTTCGCACAAAAATAATGAATTGGCACAGTTGTGAGTAATTACGGGGTTTCGCCATGCAGAGAATAGCTGAATGTGAAGTGTGAGCGGGATGCCAATGAAATCAGCATTTGAGGGTGAAGTCACATTCACACAGGGAGAGTGAGGCAACGAGATATCAAGGTCTTGTTGAATGAAGATGTCTCTGTCTCAGTTTGGCTGTTGCTTGGTAACCAGATACTCTCTTTAATTTACCGGTTTCCTGACATTCATAAAGCAGTTTCTCTGCACTTGACAGTCTCACACATGCACAAACTGACAGTCCTGATGAATTGCCTTCGTTCCTCAGACTGCCGAGTGGAACACACCATGCTATGGAATATGAGTTTTATTTCATGAAAGCAGAGTGCAGCTGATGCAGCAGCAGTAGTAAAGTGTATCCTGACTGATGAGTCATGCCACAAGTAATGTAATTTGTTGGTGATGTCATACACTTTGCAGACAAAGTGCCACCAATACTGGCCACATCCCCCGGAAGTGAAAGATTATGGGCACATGCGGGTGAAGTGTCACTCTGAGGAGTGTAATCTGGCATATGTGACAAGACAGTTCACTCTGACACACACACAGGTACAGTAACAAATAGAGCTGCAATTGTTAGTTGATTAATTGCTTAGTTAATTATAGAAGTAATCTGCAACTGTTTTGATTTGATTTTGATTCAATGTTTGTCATTTTTAAAGTACAAAATCTAAACACTCTCTTGTTTCAGCTTGTCAGATTTGAAAATCAGTTGCTTTTCTTGTTTTTAACATTGAAGTAAATTAGATGTTTTTGGGTTTTTCACTTTTGGTTGAACAAAAGAGGACCTTTGATATCTCCTTGGACAAATGTAGCAAATGTCACACCTCCTTTCAGATCCAAGTGAAAAATTAGCAAAGCGTGACCACAGTCGGGAAAACACAGAGCTTTTCTAGTATGTTTTCAGTGACATGCACCATGCCATATGTCACATAACATAGCGCACCACAGGCTGCAGCCGCTCCTGGCAAGCTACCTGCAGCCAGCATACAGTTACTTCCGTGTGGGTGGCTTGGTCTGTGTGTGGGTGTGGGTGGGCATGTGCATTTGCGTGTATTAAAAAATTTTGTGGCACACCTGTGTGTAGTTGGGCAGGTGTGTGTGGATCTTTCTGGGAAGTGTATCTGAGTTTAAAACACCTCATATGTTAGATAATCAGATTAAAGGAGGTGTTATCTGCATTAACTTCCATAGAGAACAGGTAAATAATCAGACACTGGTCAAGGAGGCATGAAGTACGAATGTACACACATGCATACGCAGAGTGTATGAGCCCATCTGTTCTTCTGGCGGAGTGAGTTCATCTCTGCATGGAGTCACAGGCCACATTATAAACTCTGAACACAGCCATTCTTATTTCTGATTTAGCGTTTTTTTTCCCCCAGCTCTGGTCTTTTCCTCTATCAACTCTCCTCACAACCTGTTTTGTCTGTTTTCATCTCCCTGTGTCGTCCTTCACTTCCTAATCTCAGTGTCACCTACAGGTCGTGCATGTTTTGTTTTCCCCACCTGTTCTGTTTTGCCACTGAGTCCTCTGTTGTTTCTATTGTCTCATATACTGATTAACATCAGCGTGTGAGCCTGCAGTATTGTTGGTGATATGTTTCCCAAATACTGGTTATGCAGTACTTGGATTATCTCTTAAGTGTCTCTCTTTGGTATTTTTGTGTTTTTATATTGAATAAATGTGTGTGTCGGTGTGTGTGCGCTTAGCGGGGTGAGGAACGTGCAGTCACGCACCTGCAGTATGTCGCGTGGCCTGACCATGGTGTACCTGATGACCCTTCGGACTTCCTGCTGTTCGTCAGCTCGGTTAGGGAGAGGAGGAAAGGTGAAGAGCCAATAATTGTACACTGCAGGTAACACACGTACTGTACCTTATGCTCTAATTGAACACTGCCAGCATGTACTGAGTGTACTTGCCTCTACTGTACATTTATTGCCGTGTTTGTTTTAAATTACTCTTCCAGCGCTGGGATTGGGCGGACAGGTGTTCTGATCACTATGGAAATGGCACTGACTCTGATGGATGCGGGTCGGCCGGTGTTCCCGCTGGACATTGTCAAAACACTGAGAGATCAGCGAGCTATGATGGTTCAGACCACGGTACAGAGAAACAGAGCATGGATTTTGTCATGATAACCTGCTGCTCGAGAGAGTTTCTGTTGGCTGTTTTAATTAGTACCTTGTTTTTGTTCATTGTCTGCAAAAGATTTTTAGGTTGAGAAGTGCTATTTAAAATCTCCACTGAACAGAAACTCGTAGAGTTAGTCACAGTTTGAGACATCGCTCTGCTATAGCTACTATACTTTATGTTTGAACTTAGCTATGTGCTAAGTACAGGTTCAGTACAGGCTGTTCAAATATACAGTACGTATGATTCAGAAACAATGTGGTTTATATATATTTTATTATTGTTAGGCATACTGCATGTCATTTGAAATGTTATGAGTGTGGTGTAATAGAGCGCTTCTGGAAGATTACAAATGAGCTGTATGGTCAGAGTTTTTTATGAAAATATTATGTAAGCGAGGGGAGGTGAGGCTTACTGTGAAATTCATTGTGCTCATAATTACTTTCTAAATTCCAGTGCCACAGATTTTGACATCTGTGGGGTCCTGTCATCTGCAACCTTCATTAATTCACAGAAACTTGACTGCTACTGTATTCTACTGATGGCTGACGAGCTCGGTAACCGTACTCTGTGGCACCTCAGTGGTAGCTGTCGAGGAAAAGTGTTACTCATTGCTTTGACAGGAGCTAGTGCTGGGAATGTAGCAGGCCTGCAGTCACATGTCGGCTTCTAGGGCACTGCTGCTACCACTATCACCCTTATTTTGAAAAGATCCGTCGCTGAGGCTTCTTCTCTTTGATGTTTTGTTGGTGAAGGAACTCTTCCTCATGTATTTGTCTTAGTAATGGAAATATACACAGTCATAGGACAGACCTTTCTTTCTTTCTTATAGGACAGACCTTGATGTTAAGGATCCATATCATAAAGGACAAGGCTGGCATTTTGCTATCATTTTTTAATCCTCAACAAATAAACAAAAACTAAGAGTGTGTGAGCCCATATTAAATACTTTTTTACTTTTTCACCCTATTTATGGCATTCAGCCCCAACCCCACTTTGTCCTAGTGGTGATGTAGATGGCTCACAAATGCATAGTTGACAATTTGGGGCAGCTGTGGCTCAGGAAGTAGAGAAGGGTCATCTCCTAACTGGAGGGTTGGCGGCTTGATTTCCGGCCTCTGCAGTCCACATGTTAAAATGTCCTTGACCAAGACAGTGAAGCCCAAGTTTCTCCTGGTGGCTGTCCATTGGTTATACGCTGGCTTAGGAGTGTGAATGTGGTGAATGAGCAAGTAGTGCAAAAGTGCTTTATGTGTGCTGCAATGCAGACAAAAGTCCTAGACAAGTATAAGTCCATGCAAGTAGTGTAGGTCTTTGGAGTCTGTTGATCAGTCTTCTACTTTGGTCCAGGTTGAAATATCTTCCTGTTCAGCCTCAGTTGTACTTTGTATTTAGTGATAATCCACAAATGTAAGCTTGCTAACACAGTGCTAATATGGTAAACATTACACCCATCATCAGTATGTTGGCATTGTCATTTTGTGTATGTTGGCATGCTGACTTTAACATTTACCTCACACAGACAATACTTGTTAATAGGATCAGTTGATTGTTGGTTTGATTTTGTTTCATGGGACTTGTTGAGAATAAGAAATACATAGAATATTGCCAGTGTTATAATTTAAAAACAGCACTGTTGTCTGATAAATAATCACACTTTGTATTCTGTGTGTTTCAGTCTCAGTTCCAGTTTGTGTGTGAGGCCATTCTGCAAGTCTACAAGGAGAAACAGAGAGGATCTACAGCACCGTAACTCAAATCAGCAGCAGGACCAGAACAGACACATTTCTTGTTTCAGCCTCATGTCATAGAAAGCAACTTCCACAGAGCGCTGTAACAGACTAATCTCTGTCGTGGCTGGGGGAGTGGTACACAGGCTGGATGATGAGAGTGTAACTAGCTTCAGAGTCTTTGATCTGTGTAGCCTGGATTCGGTATGAGACTCTGTCTTACATCTAGTCTGTCTTAGTTTTCGCTGATTGTGCATTAAGCTTTTAGAGGCTGCGGTCTCCATAGAGACTGATGTGAGCTGCTAATTTCTGTCCACAAGGCCAATCAGGAGTGACGCCTCTAAGCCATGTGTGCCTTAGACTGACACCTCCCAGTCAATGGATTGAAGCAAGCCAAGCTTTCAATCACTACAGCAGATACTGGAAGGTCATGGTGGTGCAGCAGTGCACACTAACCACCAGAGGAGCACCAGATCCACAGTTTATCACTCTTAAATTATTAAAACACTAAATAAAGACACTGATTTATACTGGTGTATTTGCTTTGTCGTGTCTTCTGATAATTAATGTAATAAAAACAAGCCTGTTTCACACTGGCAGAATGAAGCTTGTCACAGAAGACAACTACAGAGTAGTTTTATTTTTAAACTTCAGCCAAGTGCCACTAAACCTGGCATCACATCAGTGAAACCAAATCGTTATCACAAACTGGTCATGACAAAATACTGACCTGCAAAATGGCAAGGCACATTTCTAACAGGCAATTCAGAGTGCTTTCCAAAGGAAAAGAAAAGCACTGACAAACCAGAATAAAACCAATCAAGACAAACTAACAAGCATTGTTAAAATGAAATAAAACTAAATGAAGTTAAAATAGACAACTAGTAGTTAAAAGATGATCAGAAACAACTATAATACAGTTACAGTGCAGTAAGAAGACTAACAGATATTAAAGTGCAGATTGCAGTGTGAGTATTTGTGATGATATTCTTAAAGCGTACATAATTCACAGTATATTTGTGCACTGGTTTCTGTGGTTCTTTTTGCAGATACAGCTAAATGCAGGCATGTACAGTAGGTAAAGTTGTTACACTGTACCCACTAATGAGCCTAATGCCACTAAAATTTGCAAGACAATACAGAATTTATTCACATCACTAATAATTTAGGCTATTTCCAGAACCACCAGACTTCTGCACAAAGGCCCACATTTGTGAGACGGGTTTGTGTTTTTATTCTGAAGACAAGGTGCACGTTTGTACCACTGAGGACATGTTCTCAGTCTGCAGCTTAAAACTTAACACATGGGCTCAACCCAGAGGTTAATAATGACAGTGATACATTTTTAAGGCCATCATTACTGGTGTCATTTAATTATTTATTTTGTGTTTCAAAATTTTTTATTCTGGTGTTTTATTTATAGTTTTTACATTTCTGTTTATTCTGTCTCATTGGTTTATCGTTTAAATTCCAGCGTGAACGTCTCAGATTGTTTAACTGTCTTTTTAGCCCCTTGTCAGTCATCTCTAAACGCATTATATATTTTTATCAGTTCGACTTATTACCAAAGGATTTCTAAAGTCTTGGTGTAGCCACGATAAACAGCCCCCTGGAAGCCCTCTAACGACCCTGGGGACACCTGGATCCCACAGTGGGGGCCACTAAGCATCGACTAGAAGCTCTGTTCCCTATGGCCAGGCGGGTCCGTGACAGACAGGTGGCGCTGGCTCACCGGCGCTGATAGGTCGGCCAGTCGGGGGAAACAGAAGTTTGTTCGGAGCTGTGTTTCTACGCAGGCGCAGATCAAGCTGTTTGTCCAGTTTCGCTGGTTGACTTTTACCTGGGAGGTATAGTTTCGGATCGCAGCGGGGGAGGATAAGCAACAGCAACCGCAGAGGTCGGCCTCAGACCAGAGGTGATAAAGCTTTCCCTCCCCGGCCCCGTGTGACTCAGGGGTTCCCACTGCGGGGCGTCGGACGGGATTTCTCCGGGATTTTAGAGTCGGTGCGCAACAGCGAGCAAGGCGGGAGGCAGGTGCACTGGAGAGGACAGGGCAGTGGGAGGAGGAAGGTTGCATGTATTTCCGTGAGAGTCCTGACGTTCACACCGGACCGAATGATTGGGAATCAACTGGTTGGCGCCTCGGTGGTCGACCTGTGTTAGTTTCATTAGTATGCGGCTGGACATCCATCCAGAGGACTGATCGGCAGCCCTGAAGTCGCTTCCGTGCCTGCTGAGTGACTCCTCGCCCCGGGGAGGACGAGGAGGAGGAGGAGGCGG